ATTATTATCCAATTCATCTTGATTAGAATGTTTAGGCTTTATTTTCATTTTATATGTTATCAACACCAATATTAAATTCCGAACAGTTTTCCTCGAGAGATCGACCCGGGAAACGAATCATTTAATTCGGTGCTCGGTAAAATAAAATAATTTGTACACAACATAGAACAAGCCTTCATTAGTGTTAGAATTTATTTTTGCATTCATTCATTAGTTTAGAATAAAAACTCCAATCGAATTTGCATTAGTCTAGATAATATTTAATCGTCGATATTTTGGTACTTAATTGGTTTAAACAACAGTCTCTGTGGAATACGACCTTGCTCGCCGCTTTCTGCAGCTACTCCGTACACTTGCAGGTAGTGAAAATATTTTGCGAACACTCTTCTCATTATGAAAATATAATAAATAAAATTAAGTAAAAATATATATTATTAAACATTTCTATTTACACAATATTTTTTATTTACGGAATATTATTGAACCTTATCGTTTTGATTTTTTTTTAATCAATTATCCAATTTGTGATTGTTGATGTACAAAAAATAATGGAAATAGTTCAAAAATTAAAGTAAAGTCATGTTTTTATTTTTTTACAAATCAAACTCATTCAATTTTTTTAAGCACTTTCATATCTCAATTTCAATGTATAGTTCATACCAATTTATTCATTGGTCATCCATTAGTCAAATCGTCGATCAAATTAGAAGAGAAATTCAAATGTTATTCTATATCATCTTTTTCTCTTTGTTTTTTTTTTTTATCAAACAATTAATAGAAAATTCTATTATCATCAAATATCTGTAAACACATCGATTTGTTAGATTCTAAAGAACATCATTAACACAAACAAAACAACAAAGCATGATAACCTCAAACACAAAAAACACCACAAATCATAAAATTTATTTATAACAAAAATATTAAAAATTATTTTTTTATTTCTTCCAACTCCCACCATATGAACCACAACCACCTAAAAAAATCATACCATTTAATTTCAAAAAAACTGGCAAGCTTTGTTAAAGCGATAATTTTGATTAAATAAATAATTAATTTGTTAAAATATTATATTAATTATATCTTAAAAACTGGTTAGATTTGTGGATAAAAAATTACAATATTAATTAGTTTGTTACAAGTGTGATTATGTGAAAGTTAAGATAAAAGTAAATTTATCCAAAAAATATGCTTAAAATCTTTTTCTTTAAATGTTTAAATTTAATAACCTAAGAACCAAATTTAAATTATATCACATAAGGAAAAAAAAAATCATAAGCGTTTATTAATATATTTAAAAATATAATTTTGAACTTAAATCAGAGTAAAAGGCATGATAATTCAAATTTATTTTAAAAAAGTTTTAAAATGTTTAATATTTTGTTAGGTATATCGTAAGAATAATCTTATCATTTTAATTTAAAAAAAAAAATATTGACAAGTTTGTTAATGAGATAAGTCTAATCAGATAAAATATTATATTGATTATATCTTAAAAAATCCATTGTATCTTAAAACCCCGATTAGATAATGCGAATAAAAAACATTATATTAAATAATTTATTAGAGATGTGAGTATATAAAAGTTAAGATAAAATCAGATGTACCCAAAAATTCTACTTGTAATTCTTCCTTTAAATATTTGGATTTAAATATAATTTATTTGCTATCATATAGACCATGCTACATTAATGTAGTTTATTAACACACGCCAAGTTTTAAATAGCAATATATATTTGTGTGATATCCTCCCTATATATCCTCCTTATATATAATTCCCGAATGCGTTGAGCCTACGTGGCTGCTTCTGGTGCTTCGGAATCCTATTTGGCGAAGAATTATTTGGCGTTGAGCCTCCTTATATATATTGTTATTTAAAACTTGGCGTGTGTTAATAAACTACATTAATGTAGCATGGTCTATATGAGAATCGAGTTGGGACGTGTAGATCATCCAGGCACGATATCATGCGGGACATTTATCGAGTATTTCGGAGTTCCGAGCATTTAATTAAAGAAGCTTGAGTTCACGGGTGAATAATAGAAAAATGAGTTGGTGTTAAATTTTTATTCATATGGTATCATTTTAACATTAAAAAATTACAAAATAAAATTATAATACATCAATAAATAAAAAGTACAAAACTATTTAGCATAAAAAATACATTTCACAAAGTAATCAGTAAAAAAGATACAATTATTAATACACATTATACAAAAAAATATCATTTAAAATACATAAAACAAAAAAATGAAATAAAAAAGAAAATCTGGTGTTGCTACAGTGTTGCGCCACATCTGGCGCAACACTGTAGCAATCTGTGAAGTAGCGTGAAAATATGAAGCAGCGCTGGAGTGATTTTGTGCGCTATAAAAGAGTAGAGTTGAGATTGTAGCGCTGCACTGTGGTTGGTCTAAGTGGTTTGTCAACAATTGATGAAGAAAAGTAAATGAGATTGTAAATATGAAAAATTCAAAACTATATTCTCCTAATTGTTACTAGAATATTCGAGTTTCAATACAAATATGTTGTTTGAAACTTGTAATATGGTTTTTCTATTGAGGCAAACCTTATAAATATCAAATGTCGATGTCTTATTATTAGTTAGATAAACTGACAATTATATCTTGATTGCTTTTTGGACTACTATTAGTTTAAAATCTTGGATGGATACTATTTCTTTCACTTGTTTTATCAGACAATACTAGTATGAGTCCCGTCCAGTGAGAGATTTTCATTAATATTTATAAATATTCTTTTTATTAAATAGTATTTATAAATTAAAAATATGAAATTAATACATAATATAATTTACCTATATTAATTTATTAAATATGTTATATAAAGTTTAAATTGTGCAAAATTACATAAAAATGTCTATTTAAAAATAATACACAACTCGTACGGTGCATATAACTAATAATAAATTACATTATATTTGTTTCAAAATATGCGTAATTTCATTTTTTTTCAAAAATTCGATTTGAGTATACCCACTGTGTACCACGTGCGATGTACGGGAACAATATTAAATTAACAATATTATAAAGAGACATCGAGTTTGAGTCACTCAATGGTGGAAGTGGAAACTACTAGTGATACTATTTAAAAAGAAGAAGAAAAAAAATAATTATAAATTAAAGAGGAGGATAAATAATACTTAATAATTATAAATTAAAGATTTGAGATCAAACAATGTAAAATTATTTTGCACAAGAGAATATAAATTTTACATTATTTTGTATAAGATAATATAAAATTTGTATGTTTAATATTAAAAACACCTAAAATATTATATTAGTATATGTAAAAGTATTCAAATTTTCTCTATTATTTTTGAAAGATATGAAGTCACTTACAACTTTTCTAAACAATTTTAGAAGGAAAACATATCTAAAAACAAATGAATTTTACATTGTGTAAAAAATATTTTTTTTAG